TCAAACTCCTGTTTGTTCGCAACAGTTTTTCTAACATAAGTCATATAGGGGAAGATTTCTTACAAGCATGAACTTATCAGCTCGTATACCTTATATCATAATTATGTTGTGAATCTAAACCTCCTCAATTGTGTAATGGTCACGATGTACGTCATAGAAACTGATGAACAAGAGCACACGTAACTGAAATCCAAAGTACGTCGGTGTGCGGAGGGGACGATATTTTTCCAGCACAGTTGTTGAAAATTGGAAACGGAACTTTAGAAAATGAAAATGGTTATGTAACGGTACAAGATTACAAATAAAATCGTTGCGAAATAATATTATAGAAGCTGTAATTCTTACAGGGCCAGCGAAAGGAGAAATTGCATTTATTCCAAGAATTCCCATGATTCCCTGTGACTTGCTTTTTTCTTTCAAACGGCTTCAATTCTCGGTTAAAGTTTCTTTTGCCATTACCATAAACAAAGCGCAAGGACAAACATTCAAGTACGTTGGCGTAGATCTTCGTACAAAGTGCTTTTCACATGGCCAATTATACGTGGCATTTTCTCGAACTGGGGACCCGAATCATCTTATGATTTTAATTTCAACAGGAAATATAACAAAAAACATCACATACCCAGAAGTCTTATAAAATTCTTATTTTAATTCTTTTTTTTCTTTTTTTTTCTTCATCAACTTCAATAAAATTCTTTATCAACCATAAATTATTTCTTTTTTATCTGTATTTATTTTTATCATTTATAACGCTATAAAAATTTCAATCCGTTTTCATTAACCGTTTTTTTTATATTTACTTGCCGATCACATCAAACAATAATATTTGAATAAAAAATTCTACATAACATGGTCCGAAGGCAAAATAAACAACCAATCACGGGCGAAGCTGTGTCGGGTTGGCTAGTATATTTATAAATATGTAATGAATTTTTAATTCAAAATTTAAATTCTTTGTATAATTTAAAATGTGCCTTTTAAATAAATTTCTAGTATATAAAATAATATTTTACTCGCAGTTAAATAATTAACTTTTTGTTTATGCTGTGGACCATTTATACATTTGTAATATACATGCTGTTTTATTAAGAAAGGACAACCAATAAATTTAATAGGTTATTCTACACGTTCGAGAGTGAATCGATATTTAGAATTTTCTCCTACAAAAATACTACTTTATAAAATTATTTTTTATTTTTAAATTATTCAATTATTTAATTATTTTTTAATTAATAATTAAATATGAGAAATTAGTAATTAATAAATTACCTTCATACTTCACTGATTTCTCTACAACAAATCCGTAACCCAACAATAATAAATCTATCACAAATATGTCAAAATCATTTGTCTCTCCTTTGAGTGTTTCATCATTGTATGTCAAATTAAATAAATTTACTTTTAAACTATTAATGTAGTCAATATTATTCATCTTGAATTACAATTAATTAAATATTATTTAACTTTAGCCAAAATAAGTACAAAAAAAAAATAGAGACTCAACAAATAAGATCACTTTTACCATGTAGTTTTATACTATTAAGATCAGTTTACTTTTTTTTTTCAACTCTGTGACTGGGAAATACCTTCTTATGAGATATGATATTTTATATTATTAGTTATAGGCTTATAGTACAAGGTTATGATTAAAAAGAAAAAACCACAATATATTAGACATTTTATGTTTTGTATATTCAATGTAAATAATATAACATATAAATAATACGGAGTAATTCATTTTTCTTTATCATCTTTTTCCTTTAATAGTATACATAATACAGCTCAGAACATATTATATGCTGAAAAAAAAATTAAAAATAGAGGTAAATCAATTATTGCCACAAATAATCGGGTAGAGACTTTAAAAGAGTTTTTATTTGAAACTGCTAAGTCCTTAAACAGTGTTCTAGAAACTTAGAGATGTTACAAACTGCTTGATTTCTGAACCAAAGGGTGTTAAGTTCGGTTTGAAAATCGAACTAGAGAAATAAAAAATTAATATTAAATATCAATACATTTTAAATTTAATGAAATAATATTTGGTTCAGATTTGATTAAAAACTTGGTTCTATCTAAGTCTAACACAAAGTTTAAGTAAATATCAGACAAAAAATTACAAACTTTCATCATATTATAAACAAATCTTCTTCTTATAATATAAAACCAAAATGAGCTTCCTAGGTTTTTTCGCCAGAGTGCTCTGGTTTAGTGTCGCGTGGCGTGGCGTGGCATGGCGCGGGAAAGGAATTTTCGATCTCATTTTTTTTTTTTGGCTTAAACTAGTGATGGGAATAATCGAATGATTTCGATAATCGAGAGATTAGTAATCGAGATATTATAATAATCGAGTAATTCACTCGATTATTTTAATCGAGAGAATGGTCACTATTATATAGTGATAGTCGCTAGTCGCCGAGATATAATAATCGAGAACATGACGTAATCGATAGATAAGAATCACTCAAATAATATTACAAATTTACGGTCGATAATACGGCAGCTTAATTCAAGATCTATAAAAATAAAATACTTACCTTATAGTACTACTATCTACTTCATAAGACATAAATCTTGAGCTTTACTAGCTAATTATTAGATACGAGATAGCCGTGCTCGATTGTCAATAGACAATTTTACAATAATCATTAATCAATAAAGCCAATAAAAGTATGTAAATAAACATTAAAAATTGAAATACATACTATTTTTAATTTTTAAATATAATAAAATCTTTATAATAAAACAAAATAAAATAATATTATAAGAAAAACAACTGACAATTTATTTTGTTTGTACATATGTTTAAAAATACTAATAATATTAAATAATTTTTTAAATATTTAACGTTTAACCAAATATAATTATATGTACCTAACATAATTATTAATTGTAATACTATATCTAAAAAAACTGTATTTATATGATGAATAATAATAATTTATAAATTATAAAAAAAATGCTTAAAGATAAAACAATAAAAAATAGTAAATACTATTTACTATTAAATAAAGTGAATAAAATACTGACAATGCTTAGTCTTTACCGTCAAGCATATAAAATTAAAATAATGATAATCAAAATTCGATGTCTGAAGGTATAATAATACCTTCAGAATAAATAATATAATAATACCTTCATTTATAAAAGATTTAAATTACTATTTAAAAAAATAATATAGTTTAAATTTTTTGGAGACAGCCTATTTCGACGATCATTTGTTAGCAATCCAGCTTTCGAAAATACCCGCTCGGAAGGAACTGAAGTCGCCGGTATACAAAGATATTTTTGTTGAAGTTTGTATAATTCGGGCAATATCATCTTGTGCTGTTTCCAAAAATCCAAACTATTTTTTTCTCGAGGCAAATGGGGTAACTCTAAGTACTGACGCATCATTAATGTTGCAGAAACATTTGGACATATGACACTTCTAACTTCTGTCACTTTTTGATCAAAATGATCCCATAAAGAATAAGAGCACCCTGTTGAAGTTAACGAAGTTGGTGTTTCGTTTATATTTCCAATGTTATTATCATTTGCGCCATTATTAATAGAAATAATTGATGTAAGCTCGTCGACTAACCATTGCTGAGCATTGTTGGCATTATCTTCCAATCCAAATGCAGTTTTTTTTAATTTAGGATCTAATAAAGTTGATTTTGAAACAATTTTATTTTTTTCTAAAGATCCTAAACGCCTCGAAACACTATCTAATAAACTACTTTGTAGTAAAATACCGGCATCAGTTTCTGGTCTTACTTTTCTAACCGTATATTGAAGGCCTCTCACAAGCGGTATTACCAAAGATAAAGTTGGGTATTTTTCTCCAGATAATTCTATCGTCAAACTTTCGAAAGGTTTTAAAATTGGGGCACAGTCTGTTATTATATCCCATTCATTTGAAGTTAAGCAATTTGGAGCTCGTCGAAGCGATGAAATTGCTGCAGATAAAGGATTTTTAATTTGGATGAGCCTTTCTATCATATTTAAAGTTGAGTTCCACCGAGTGCTAACGTCTTGTTTCACTTTCAACTCGGGAAGACCCATTTGTTTTTGAAATTCTTTTAATTTTTCTGTTGCAAGATTACTATGTTTAAAATGACCCACTATAGCTCGACATATTTTTAGCACCCTGAGAAACTCTGTATTTTGATTAATAGATTCATTCACACTTAAATTCAAAGTATGTGCTACACAAGGGTGGTGATATTTTAGGAGGTGATTATTTATAGCATGTTTTATATTTGCACCATTATCCGAAACTATAGTTACAATTTTATTTGAAATATTCCACTCATTAAATATGTTTGAAAGTGCCGAAGCAATGTTTTCCCCGGTATGACTTTCTTTAACTTCTTCAGTCGCAAGAACTGGCGAATACAAACAATCGTTAAATATAAAATGGCAAGTTACAGTTATGTACGACCTAGTGGAATCTGATGTCCACATATCCGTAGTGATTGATACATCGTTAACGTTTTCCAACATATATTTTAGTTTTAAATAAATTACATTATATTGATCAGGCAACAGTTTGGTAGTCAATAATTTTCTACTCGGAGGTGTGTATAATGGTTGTAATTTTTTTGTAAATTCTAAAAAGCCAACATTTTCAACTATTGACAAGGGTTGATAATCGGCGGTAATCATTTTTACTAGACATTTGTCAATTTCATTATTTTCTGCTACAGTTAGTTCATTATTTTTTGTTGTGCCGTATAATTTAAGTTGACGCGAGCGTTTAGTTAAAGTTTGATTTAAAGTTGAAGATTCAGTTTGTGGATTAGAATTTGTTGAAGAAGATTGAAAATTCGATAAGTTATTAATAGGCTCAATAGAATGCAATTCGGAATCTGGATCGTCTGCTGTAGAAGCAGGAATAATAAGTGCAGTAGCATGCTTCCGTTTTAAGTGCTCTTTTTAAAAACAAACAAGATATATAACAATATAATAATTATATAAAAATTATACCTATATAATTACTAATATTAATAAATAAAATATTTTATAAATAAAACGGACTTTGTCCGTTAAAATACTTTTAAAAATTATTCAGAATACTTTAAAAAATTGTATTTAGAATACTAAAAAATACTTCAAAAAGTATTTTAATGCTTGTATTCTAATACTTTACAACACTGAATGATGGGGGCGATTGTAAACTCCACCGATTTACAGGTAGTTGATTTTAGGGTTGGATTTATAACATGTAAATTCCACCGATACATTTTTTTTACCTGAAAAAAAAATGTAAACTCCACCGATACGTATTTTTTCGTCATTTAAGGCAAACAATATTACCAGTATACAATTCGTCAAAGCTGCATCTAAACATTATCAAACCAAATTTTAAAACCTAATTTTAAAACCAAACAAATTTTTTTAAAACCTAAATTTTCTTTGATTAATTATTTTTTATTCATTTATTTTAATTAACATTATTTTAACATCGAACTAGTGATCACTATTAATTATTATTATATCATTTATTTTAATATTGTGTAAAAAAAGATATAAGTATCTAAATATAATATATATAAATAATAAATTTTTATTAGATTTTTATGATTTTTTTTTTTTTAAATTATTGTTAATTATTATTAATAATTATATATTTTTCAATTTTCTATTATTGATATTTGATTTTTATGATTTTTTTTTTTTTTAATTATTGTTAATTATTATTAATAATTATATATTTAATAAAAATATAATAAATCTGCACCCACATAAATTATGTAAACTTAATTAATCAGATTGGATTTGGATTACAATTTTAAAAAAAAACATACCAGTGGAGTTAACATTTTTTTTTTCAGGTAAAAAAAACGTACCGGTGGAGTTTACATTTTTTTTTTCAGGTAAAAAAAACGTACCGGTGGAGTTTACATGAAAAAAGGTCTAAAAAGGTCGCAATCGGTGGAGTTTACATGCGCCCGAATGATGGGTATTGGGTTATGTATTTTACTATAATTTTAATATGTTTATTCAGTTATTCTTATTTATTTAAATAACATTAGTTATTGTAAACAAGTATAATTTTTGTAAGTTCCATACCTCCATGTCTCCATTTATTTATAAATTATCTACTTACCTGTTTTTTTTTTTAAAAATCGGTCCATTGACCCAGCTATTTTTTTTTTATTATTTTCTCTTTCTTCTTTCATTTTTCTTTTTGCTGATCCCGATAAATACTGCCTTGACGATGACATAATTTAATAATAAGTATATATTTAAATTAATTAAAAAATAATCGGGCGCGCAATGAAATGGCCAAATGGGTTCAACACGGGCAGATATTACAAAAATTTTTTGGATTAATATTTGTAAAATTATAAGCTAATGATTTTGTTTTGCATACATAATAATAATATTGTAGTTATGAAACACACGCGACAGTGCGACACGCGCAATAGTCGATTAATGATTAACTAATAACTTTATAATAATATTTGTGTTGAGCGTGTGTGATGTACTGGTGTGTTTATGAAAACAATATGTATAGTAATATATAATTCGTTATCGTAGGCACTATTGGGAAATTTTCGATACATCTATTTTTAGTTTTGGTCGCGCTGCGTTGAATGCAACGCTAGCGCGACGGTATCATTATTCGCCGTATTGGTCAACGGTGTACCAGCATACACGATAATACGTATGAAAAAAAAAGATTAAACAACCGATCAAATATTCACAATTATTAACCCACCAATGGGAATAAATTAAAAAATAAAAATAGTATAAACCAAAATCTAATATACTATTTGTAAAAAATAAAACATACATGTTACCAAGAATCTATTTTATTTTATGGTACTTTGATAGTTTGATATTCATAATATCGGGGGCCCCCCAATTTTTTAAAGAGTTGGGGCCCCAGTGCAATGCACCGCTTGCACCGGCGGTTTATCCGGCACTGTATATATGTGATCAAAATTATTATTTATAATAGATATAAATAATAATAGAAACCATTTCCTTAACAATTCCAGATAGTACAGATTAATAATAAAGTATAGTTATACTACGCCGCGGGCCGCGGCCGCCTGGGTATTTTTAAATATGTATTAGTTATTATTATATTATAATATTAGTGAATAGTAGATTAGTAGATAAGAATGATTACTGCCTACTGGTTCAGTGTTCGAAATTCGAATAGCTATACCAACTACTATAAAGTAACTATAAACTAGTTATTATAAAAATAGTAATTACTAATAAGTAACTACTAACTACTAATTTTTCATTCGATTATTTTTGACCGAGCAATTCGATAATTTTTCTAATAATCGAGTAATCGATTATTTTCTAATAATCGAGTACTCGATTATTTTCTCTCGATTGTTCCCATCACTAGCTTAAACAACCATTTTACGTCTGTAGCTCACGAAGTGTAGACGTCTATTTATTGTGTGTTTTTAATAATAATTTAATTTAACTTTTTAAATTAATACTTTAACATGGAAACGAAACAATCAAAACTTGCAATTTGTGCTGCAGCATATTATGTTATGGCAAGTGGTGAAATTTTAATAAATAATAACAAAAAAGATAAGGTGACAAGAAAGAGAAAACGACATTGGGTGAATGAATATTATAAAAGTCGAAATAAGTAAGTACCTATATAATCTTAATAATAATCTCAATTTCAATATTATGTAATATCAGTAGGTATTTATTTTTTAATTTTATAAATTATCGCATTTTAATTTTCAGGTACAATGCGACAAATATGCTTTATGATTTGACTTTAAACTCTACAAAAAAATTCGAAAATTTTTGCCGAATGTCACCTGAAGATTTCGAATATTTGTTAAATAAAATTGGACCATCAATAACAAAAACTGACACCAATATGAGAAAATCTATCCCTATCCAAGAAAAATTAGCAGTTACATTAAGATATTTAGCTTCTGGAGACAGTTTTATTAGTTTATCTTATATGTTTAAATTCTCTCCACAATCAGTGTCAAGATGTGTTCAAGAAGTATGCAGTGCATTAATACAAGAATTAAAAGATGAAATTAAGGTAATTAATAACTATTATTATTTAAAAAATACATTGATACAAACAATAAGTATTATGAAAACAGCAAACTTATAAATGACATATTTCGTAAATAAAATAATTTCCTTCTAATAAGATAACAAAAAAAATATTTCCAACTTTAGTTATATATTATAATGTACTATACACAATAAAAAACAAAATATATAAAGTAAAAAAAAAAATAATTAATTCTTTCTTGTAAATAAAAAAATTAACACATAATATTTAACTTGAGATATAATAAATAAAAATAAATAAATAATAAAACATGAAAATAAATATTTTTTCCTCTATACTAACCAATAAAATCAAATTTAAATACTGGTAAAAAAAAATAACACAATAATTAACAAGATATTCTAAAAAAATATAGGTAGTAACATACTTATACTCTTTATGTATTTTAAATGTCAAATGTTTCATAAGTTCTGTCATTATGTTCAAATGACGGTCCAGGTACTGGGTTTTCTATGTTGGTGGGAAACTGCGAATAACTTGAGGAAGATGACTGAGATTGTGGTGACGGTGCCGTGTATTCTGTTAGAGAGCTTGGTGATGGATTATATAATCCTGTAAATGGGTGAATTTGGTATGTATGTCCAATGTCACGATGTGTTTGAGGTAGATAATTGTGTTGTGCTCTATTGTATTTAAGATTAAATAAATAGTTATCTATTTCGTGCATAGCTATCTCGCGGGTTTTATCGTCAAAATTTCTTAATTTTTTTGCAAGCAGCTCAGCATAAAACGAACATACGTCAGGACTTTGTTCCACCGAAGCTTTTTTTAAAATATTATATGCTTCATCCATTCGACTTTCAATTTCTATAAAGTAGTCATTCGCTTTGCGTTTTTTCTTCATGGTGGATGCTGCAGGCGATTTAAAAATTTTTTCGGTAGTTGATGTCGATGTAGTTTCTTTATCTTCTTCCTCGGTATCGTGTTGGTCTTCATCTATTCCAATATCATCAACAGTCGATTGATCTAATAATTCCTAAAAAACCAAAAGTAAAATTTCATTTTAAAAATAATTTTTGGAATTAAAACAATTTTTGAACATTAATGAATTATAATTAAACTTCTATTTAATGAATTATTTTTCAGAACTATGATCTTGATTTTTAATAATGCGTAAATTTAAATTTAATGTTTCTATATAACAAATAAACTATTCAATAACAAACCCGTTATTGTAAACAAAGTCAGAAAATTTTACAAAAAAAGTACAATTTATAAAAATAATAAACATAAGAAACTCACTAATTATTTCTCAATAATAAATTAAATAGACAAGTATGATAAATGTTAAATGAGATAATAAGATTTATAATATAATATGAATTTAATGTTTATTTTTTAATAATTTATATTTTTTTTTTATATACAATTAATGTAATTATGTTTTATAATATGTTATTTTTACCTATGTCCTTTTTGCATTATATATAGGTAAAAAGTAAAATGTTCCAACAGTTTTCAAAAAATTTGGGAAAAACAAAAAAAAAAGTAACGGAAAAACGGGAATTTTTACGTAAAACCTATATTTTGACAAAATCTATTTATTTTTTTATGTTTTTGCAACTCATAAATTCTTTCATTGTAAAATGTAAATACTTGAAAATTTCCCCAAATGTTTATGTTAGTGTTATCTATATACAGTTAAATTTTCAAAATATTTTGACTCTTTTTGAGTTATTTTATTTTTTTGGTTTATAGACCACTGAAATTTTCGATTTTTATGAGAATTTTTTTTTAAAATAACGATAAAAATTTTTTGGCTGGCCAGAAAATCTTGAAAATTTAATACAAGGTTTCTTATAATTTGTTCTTAAAGTGATAAAAAAAAAATACGAAATCATTAGTCACAATTTTTTTTTATAAGTGCTTAAAGTTCGAATTTATACGAAATATGTCAAAATTGCGAAAATTTGCAAGTATTATACATTTTTTGTCAGTGGCGGATCTAAGATTTTTTTATGGTGGGTGCTACTTTGTTAATAATAAAAAATAATTTGGATACGATTTGGGGGGGAAAAAAATTAATACTTTAGTATTTAAACATAATTAAGCAATATAAAAATTTTAAACAATTTAACATATATTATTTTTTTTTTAATTTGCGAATTATTAGTAATTTTTAATAAAAATACGCGAAAGAGATACATTTACGCAAAATAAAACTAAATTAAATAAATAATATTTGTTACACGATACTATTCTATAGTTATTATTTATTATATTTATTCTAAATCATTATTATTATTTTTAGTTGCCCCAAACAACAGACGAATGGCTGAAGGTTGCTCATGAGTTTAATGAAAGGTGGAATTTTCCTCACTGTTTGGGTGCAGTCGATGGAAAACATATTGTTATTCAATGTCCAATAAATAGTGGCACGGAATTTTACAATTATAAAGGAACATTTAGCATTGTCCTTATGGCATTAGTTGACGCAAACTATATGTTCACCTATGTCGATATTGGTTGCCAAGGTCGCTTAAATGACAGTGGGGTTTTTAAAAACACGTCTTTGTGGCATAAATTAGAGGAAAATGAAATAATGTTGCCATTAGATGAGCCACTCCCCTTAAAAACAGAATTAATGCCTTATGTATTCATAGGAGATGGTGCATTTTCATTGGGAAGAAATATGATGAAGCCATACTCAGGAGTTCACGAAAAAGGCAGTATGAAACGGATATTTAATTACCGATTATCAAGAGCTCGACGGATTGTCGAAAATGCGTTCGGAATTATATCGTCTGTTTTTCGTGTTTTCCAAAAACCTATTTTACTGAACGAACAGAAAGTTACCGATATAACAATGACGTGTGTATTATTACACAACTTTTTGAGGAAAAGCAAAACTTCTAAATCAAGTTATTCACCCCCGGGAACATTTGATTCTGAAAAAGAAAATGAATTTTGTCCGGGATCCTGGAGAAATGATCAAGATGATATGTCCTCTTTTGTACCACTAAGGATATTGCCTCGTAGATCAGGACTTGAGGCAATGAGGATAAGAGATTTGTTTACAGAATATTTTGTTTCGAATGGTGCGGTCACTTGGCA